TTCTAATCCCTTTATATAATGCTTCATAGGATATGTCTGGGAGTTGGGAGGGAACAGTGTATTATGTTTACTGTTACAACTTGTTTATCTTTCTAATCCCTTTATATCATGCTTCATAGGATATGGCTGGGAGTTGGGAGGGAACAATGTGTTATGTTTACTGTTACAACTTGTTTATACTTCTAATCCCTTTATATCATGCTTCATAGGATATGGCTGGGAGTTGGGAGGGAACAATGTGTTATGTTTACTGTTACAACTTGTTTATCTTTCTAATCCCTTTATATCATGCTTCATAGGATATGGCTGGGAGTTGGGAGGGAACAGTGTATTATGTTTACTGTTACAACTTGTTTATCTTTCTAATCCCTTTATATCATGCTTCATAGGATATGGCTGGGAGTTGGGAGGGAACAATGTGTTATGTTTACTGTTACAACTTGTTTATCTTTCTAATCCCTTTATATCATGCTTCATAGGATATGGCTGGGAGTTGGGAGGGAACAGTGTATTATGTTTACTGTTACAACTTGTTTATCTTTCTAATCCCTTTATATCATGCTTCATAGGATATGGCTGGGAGTTGGGAGGGAACAATGTGTTATGTTTACTGTTACAACTTGTTTATCTTTCTAATCCCTTTATATCATGCTTCATAGGATATGGCTGGGAGTTGGGAGGGATCAATGTGTTATGTTTACTGTTACAACTTGTTTATCTTTCTAATCCCTTTATATCATGCTTCATAGGATATGGCTGGGAGTTGGGAGGGAACAGTGTATTATGTTTACTGTTACAACTTGTTTATCTTTCTAATCCCTTTATATCATGCTTCATAGGATATGGCTGGGAGTTGGGAGGGAACAATGTGTTATGTTTACTGTTACAACTTGTTTATCTTTCTAATCCCTTTATATCATGCTTCATAGGATATGGCTGGGAGTTGGGAGGGAACAGTGTATTATGTTTACTGTTACAACTTGTTTATCTTTCTAATCCCTTTATATTATGCTTCATAGGATATGGCTGGGAGTTGGGAGGGAACAATGTGTTATGTTTACTGTTACAACTTGTTTATCTTTCTAATCCCTTTATATCATGCTTCATAGGATATGGCTGGGAGTTGGGAGGGAACAATGTGTTATGTTTACTGTTACAACTTGTTTATCTTTCTAATCCCTTTATATCATGCTTCATAGGATATGGCTGGGAGTTGGGAGGGAACAATGTATTATGTTTACTGTTACAACTTGTTTATCTTTCTAATCCCTTTATATCATGCTTCATAGGATATGGCTGGGAGTTGGGAGGGAACAATGTGTTATGTTTACTGTTACAACTTGTTTATCTTTCTAATCCCTTTATATCATGCTTCATAGGATATGGCTGGGAGTTGGGAGGAAACAATGTGTTATGTTTACTGTTACAACTTGTTTATCCTTCTAATCCCTGTGTATCATGCCTTGTGGTTTAGAAAATATCAACTGTCAAGGTATTATTTCCTATGCACTGTAAATATTCCTACAGAATTTTATTTAGAATCAAATTGTTATTGATGTTTTTTTTTTCTTTTTTCAGTATTCTCGTTTTCTAAGCTTCTGTTCACTCTTTGCTTGACATTGCCTTTGCTTTCGAAGAAATAGCAAAGGGGCAAACTATGTCATGCTCACGGAATTAACTTGTTAAAGAAAGAAAATTGTAAACATCATAAAAAAAAATATTTATCTTGCATAACTTTAATATACAATTATGGCCCGTAGAGAAGTTGAATATCCAAAATCGTCAACACGAAAAGGTTAATTCACTGAGGGCGCAGCCCGAAGTGAAATAATCTATTAGAGTTGACAATTTTGGATATTCATCGCTTCTAAACGGGCCACAATTGTTTTATTATACCGAACTAAAAGTGGAAGGGCCTTTTGAAACATTGAAAAGCACGTAACCTACTGTATCATAACAAACGCAAGTAAACGTTCAACAGAAATTTGTGTCTTAGAATTTCTCATATGTAAAACAAAGGTAGAATCTTTTTGTGAAACATTGATGACCCTGAAAAGGACTGTTTATAAGAGATATCCTCGGCACTAGATGCATTTCCAAAGCCTTGTTTTACTTCCTGTAACTTGAAGTTGAACGTTGCCATTTTGTTTACTTACTTCTGTGACGTCATTTTCAAGGGAGATAACACGTGTACAAATCATGAAACTCAAAAGGTTATTCATTGGTGAATAATAGGGTTATTCAACGCTGGTGTACATTTTTAGGGTTCTTCGTCCCTCCTTGCAATAAAATCATAATTAACTGAATTATTCTATGTCACGTGACAACGTGTAACCTAATAGAATTGTTTATAATATATGTAAGGTATAATAATATTTGTTGTTTATAAGTCCTTTGTTGGTGAAAGCAAGATGATTACAGTTTTGGCAAGTGACAATTTTGTTGATATCTCACAAAACATGTTTAACTCCGCCGGATTATTGCGCCTGTCCCAAGTTAACCTCTAGCCTTTGTTAGTAATGTGTGTTCCTTTTTTTATTTTGTTTGGCTGTATGTTTCGGAGTTAAGTGTGGCGTTCATTGTTCTGAAATTGTAAACATTATGATTTAGGGGTCTGTCCACCTCCGGTTAGTGGATTTGGTCCATGCGTTGACGACACATAGGTGACCTTGTGCTGTTTTCTGCTCTTTGGTTAGGTTGCTGTATCTTTGACACATTCCATATTGTCATTCTCTTTTCTATCATAATTTTGTTATAGTTTAATCTTGATATAATTTATTTGTGATCGTTTGGTTTCGCATAATTCGGATTAACTGAACTATTTTTTAGAATGTTTATACATTGAAAATCTACTTTGCTTGATATGAATAAAATTAAATCCCTGGACTAAAGACTCGGATAAAACAAAACAAATGAACAAACAATGTATATACAGCAAGAGAACCACTGACAACATATTTAATGGACTTAATATCCAACTGACAGACCGACAAATATACCGAACACATCTAGAGGGCAAAACATAGTCTTTAACATATATTGAACACTAAATCAAAAGTAGTTTATAAAGAAATAGGGCAGACGTAGCCCTTTGTTTCACACCATGAACATTTTAAAAGTCTTTCAACCTTATTACAGTTATGTGTTTTACAAGGGTCACCGGTCCTTCACCTTTCATCTGATACCTTAATCACTAAAATATATACTATCTAGTTTTAAATTTACACATATGCGTAGGAACTATTTTGTTTAAAATATGTACTACTTTCCAGTTTTTCTTTGACCGGACCCGATTTGGTGGAGTTACATCTTACAAAGTCTGTTTAAGTAGTTTTTGCCAAGAATTCCGCTCACGCCGGTTCCTGAGGCTATTTTAAACTTGCAGTGATGTGAAAGTTTTTTGCTCCGTGTTGAAGGCCTTACAGTGACTTTGAGATGAAGAATAGGAATTAAAAGTGCTGTACCTTTTGGTTTTTTGTGTGTTTTGGAGTGCATGTGCTGATTTTGTGTCATGGATGGATACCCCATATTCTTTGTTTTTCTGTTCACATATCGAAGCTTCTGGTGTTTACTCTATGCATGAGTGGATATTACTGTGTGCTTAGAATAATGAAACATTAAATGAAGGTCTATTGATAACTCAAACCACAATCTAGATACATTTCAATAATGATGAGTTTTTTGGTTAAAAAGAGAATAAACCAGATGTGCCAAATCTATCTTATAAGTAAAACGATGTTTTTACCTTCAGAAACAAATACATGCCTTTTGGTATGCACAACAGTTCAAGAAATATCAAATTTGCAATATTCTTGATTGGGTGGACCGGCTGGTCCCTGATTCCCACTTCCCTACCCTCTAACTCCCACTTTTCTCTCAATTTACTCCCGATTCCCTCCTCCCCAGCTACTCCCACTTCCCTTTAGCCCCTTACTCCCAGACAAGAATTGGTAAAAAATGATCACCAGAATATCCCTATGTTTACTCCACCTCTTCCCGCCCTTCATTCTTATATTCTGATTTCCCTGTCCTCCCCTCATTCTTATACAGTCAACAAAAGTAACGATACACAAGTTTGAACTCAAATTTATTATAAAATATAATAAATAGGAAAAACTTTTAAATTATCCAATAAAAAACATTCATCTGCAAAGCAAATGCATATGATTAAAAGAATCAAATTGGAAAGTGAGAAAATACCGTGTTATTGAACACTGGGATCAAATTTATTTTGCGGAAAATGATGACAAAAGTCGGCACTTAATTTCAAAGATGAGAATTAAGTATTCAAATATCTGCAAAGGCATTCAAAATTTTAAGCAAACCATGTTTAAGTTTACAATTCTAAGTTCTAATGTCGAATTTTTGTGAAAATACGATTTTTGAAATAGCAAAAATTGCAAAAAAAAATGCGTATTTGCCTTAAATCAATGGTTTTGATAAGAAAATAGCAGTCTGTAAATATGATACCAATTGGACAATTATTTACCTTGATACAGTGTATCCAGTTTCATTATATATGGAAAATACATTGACTTTATCGTTTCTTTTGTTGACTAGTATTTTATGAAAGGCCTTCAAAAAATATATAATGGTTAAGAACTGTGTTGCTTCATGAATGAAATTATAATTAATGTTTATATTTTGCAATCATATAAATGAATGTCAATGTCTATACATTTCCGTTTTTTACCCTGAGAGCGAATCATATCCATGTAAAATTAGCCTTTTGCCTCATTCACAGAAACAATACAACAATGTGCGATAACATGTTAGTTCTGTCAGTATCGAAAACATTCGAATGTGGTATGAGACCATCGACTGGATTCTCTACTTAAAACGTGGAACCAGTTTTGCTAGCACAGAATAACTTAAATCATCTAACTGTACATGTAGTAACAGTATAGAATAGAATATTATATCGCAAAGGATCAGACGAATTATAGTATTTTGAAATTGGTACCGTTTGCATGTTTATCTGGAAGAAAAAAGTATGAACATATTGTTGGGTGAATTATATTAGAAAGACATGTTATTTCATTTGCAACATATATATAGTTTTTTAAATCTTGAGTTCTCGGCTGATCTCCAATTTCAATTTAATATTAGCTCATACTTTTTATGCATGTCTCATCTTCTTCAAAATCAAACGAAACAAATCAATAGTTCCTTTCTTGTGGACATTGTTCTGAATAATAGAATTATCAAATTCATATTGTAAACATATGTCCTCAGTCTCTCCAAATAACTCCAAACATAAAGCTCGACCTGTCATTTATTGCAATAGTCTCTATTTTTCTTGTTGTTTTGGCGACACACATGAATTCTGAAGAAAACAAATACATTATTTTACTTAACGGTTCATTCAAAAGACTTTCTACATGATAACATTATTTATATATACATAAAGGTGTTACATGTTGTTATCTTTGCATTTTATGGTATTAAAAAATACTCCATTTGTCTTAGGTACGAATGTCCAATCAGTTGCATTTTAAAACGTTCGATTTTGCATAAAATGTAATCAGTTATTTTTCTTTTCTTTTCTTTATTATTAATTCTAAATTATATTGGTTTTCCCAGAAAACACTAAATAACTATGGCAATACAAATTCTTAACTGCAAACTATATTATTCACTTGCGATTAAAAAAGAGGCCAAAGATACCAAAGGAACGTCAAACTTTAAACATTAAACATTTTCAATACACCTTTGGAACGGGCATTACTCCTTTTTATTTATTACAAATGAATAACACTTGTTTTCCTACTTTGAACACTTTAATAGGACTATATGTTTGATTTATTTTTTCACATTTCAAAGAAACACGATAATTTCGTGAGGCAGCAAATCCTTTTTGACCAATGTGTATTGTAATACCGTATCTAAAAGGTGTGTTTGCATCGATTTTTTTTTCTCGATTTTTTTTTACGAACATTTCAGTCATATATGTATGAAAGTTTTAGACGTTCTTTTTGAAGTTCAGGAAAGAAATGTGTCAGACTTCCAATTATAATCGGAAGGTTCACGTGAAGTAATTCATTATTCGAATGCATTAAGTGTTAATAGATAAAAATAAATACAACCTGATACTTTAAATATGTAATGCATCTGACTCGCTGTTGTGCATTTACCTTAATTAGAAACGCCCTACATTAAAAGATGACAGCTGTTGATTCTTATATTTCTGGAGTTATATGACTGAAAGGTATTTTTAAAACCATCCTAAGTCATCTTTTTTTAAGTTACGCTTAAAACCAAACTTTTTAAAGCCTAGAATATACAAATTCTAAAAAATGTTTATGACCAAAAGGAACCAACAATGTTAGGGACATTATTCTACATACAGTCATTGTAGTTCGATGGCAAAAAGTACCATACTTGATCTATTTTTTTATAGTCTTTCTTGTAAATATTCTGTCAAAGCTGATGATACTTAGACAAAACAAACACCTCATTGAGCACAGAGACAGGTTCCCACTAATGACAAGATTCAATACACCTTTTTGTTCAATTGTACTCCAATCACCCCCAGTTTTTTGGTTCGTGTTGCTTAGTCTATAGGTTGCACTTTGTAAATACAGCTGTTTCTCAAACCACGCCTCTTTTGGTGAGATATATAATATTCATAGATATGTTAATTTGTTAACGTACTGGTTCCCATTTATGATCTCTGTGTTTCATTTCATAGAGACATCACTTGGGAATGTAACCAGTATAGAAAAACATGGTAGCGCCTAAATTTTTATTCTTAGGAGGTCCAAAAATGGAGGTAAGGGTAGTATAGAATTTTAGTATAAGTTTAAACTCTTAGAAGTTCAGGGCATATAAATGTTGAAAATATGCCGCACAGCCCTATATTTTGACCTTTGAATAAAATAGTAGTGCATATAAACTTTCCTTTCTAGGATATTATTTTTCACGAAACTTCATAGTAAAAGTGTCACAGTTTTAGCCGCAAAGGGAGTTCCTATGGGAAATTGCATTGTCTATATTTACAGAATTGCAACCTATATAGGGTTAGAAATTAGAACATACAGAATTTCACAAAATCTTGTTTATCTCAGAGATTTTTAAGTATTTAACTCAAATATGAAGTTTTATAAATATTTCATGAAGATTGAAAAAATCCTGGGCCTAAACTATAATGAGTCAGCATAAATTCACAGTTTACAGTATTCATTGTTTACTTAAAGCCCTGAATAAAAAATAAATTCATAATATATGCCTATTTGTAATTTAAATTGTTTAGAAGTGCTTATATTTACTCTTTGCAGTCATTGCAACTCATTGACCCTTCTTAAATATTTTTGGTGGGGTGTTTTTGTCCTGTCGATAACCCAAAAGTAAGCCGTAACACCTGAATGTGCTTTTTTGTGACTGCGGCATAAAAAGTACAAGCTAGAATTAGAAAAAGACCTCAATAAAACTAACAATAGTGTGTTCTATCCTCAATATGTACCAATTATTCCACATTGCTAGAAACAGGGAAAAAAATTAGGAAATGTATGGCCCCAGGGGCAAAAAACAGAGAAAAATGCCTCCCCCTGGGTCATAAAACAGATAATTTAACTTCTAAATGCTATGCTTTTATTATTTTAAAGGTCTTTTGTAAGGAAAACAATAATGCTAGGAAGTTATGCAAAAATCAGATGTAAGCAGTCATTTCTATCAAACTTTTAGTGAATGTATGCACCAGACTGATATCTTCATAAATACAACTTGTGCAAATATGGCTTTGTTTAAACACTTGTAATTCATATATTAACTAACTTATGTTAGATATATGGTTAGGGATGATACTGTTGTAATATGAATTCTAAACTGACCATTTGAGGCAGAAATTGTGAACTTTCATTGACAAATAGGCATACAGTAAGATGTGGACTGGAGACACAGGCAGGATTGGATACTTTGTATAATCTTGAATGTTGGAATGATTAACTACTAAACATTACATTTATAGTATTTTAAAATGCTTTCAATTTGTTATCAGAATAGTTTCAAACAGGTTTTAGACAGTTAATGTCAGAAAACATGCACATAGGGTAAGCTGGCAATTATTAAAGTCTTGTTTTCAAATTATTTAAATAATTGAAACAGGGGTAGGGGTATACAATGTACTGTAAAAGGAAACTGAGAGTATATGCAGTGATTTCTTTAAGGCTATAATTCTGATAAATAAGTATTGTTTTGAGAAAAAGTGTTTTTAGAGAGTTTTCTATTTGAATAAATGTTTGTATAGGTTGCACTTTGTAAATACAGCTGTTTCTCAAACCACGCCTCTTTTCGGGAGATATATAATATTCATAGATATGTTAATTTGTTAACGTACTGGTTCCCATTTATGATCTCTGTGTTTCATTTCATAGAGACATCACTTGGGAATGTAACCAGTATAGAAAAACATGGTAGCGCCTAAATTTTAATTCTTAGGAGGCCCAAAAATGGAAGTAAGGGTAGTATAGAATTTTAGTATAAGTTTAAACTCTTAGAAGTTCAGGGCATATAAATGTTGAAAATATGCCGCACAGCCCTATATTTTGACCTTTGAATAAAGTAGTAGTGCATATAAACTTTCCTTTCTAGGATATTATTTTCCACGAAACTTCATAGTAAAAGTGTCACAGTTTTAGCCGCAAAGGGAGTTCCTATGGGAAATTGCATTGTCTATATTTACAGAATTGCAACCTTTAGTTTTCTATGTTCTGTCTTGTGTACTATTATTTGTCTGTTTGACTTTTTATTTTTTAGCCATGGCGTTGTCAGTTTATTTTCGATCTATGAGTTTGACTGTTCCTCTGGTATCTTTCGCCCCTCTCTCTTCTAACTAATTCTTTCGAAATATGTTGATCATTTGTGAAGTGTACAACCGTTAAACTCACCATAAATTCGATTTTTTATATCCGTTTTTAGTTTATCAAAGATGTACCACGCATTCCTTTTTGATACTGCCGGTCTTGTTTAGTTTATAATCGTTTAGTTTCCTTTAAGTAATACATTTCTGATTTACTTGTCACTTGTGTTTATCCCATGAAATACAATCAAATAAAAACATCTAACACAAAGCAACTTCATTGATTTATATAACTGCACTGAAGTTTACAATGGCGAATAATAAAGACACTTTCATTGAAACACCCTTTTTTTTACAATTAATTGTTATGTTCTGTGATGTATGTTAAAAAAAACAACAAACAACAAACTGATATCCTTTTAAAAGAATTTAAAACTTAAACGACCGTTTCGATTTCAGCATAATTTGCAAATGTCAAGTCTTGTGCGGAAAGTTGGTTTTGTTTGTTTATACAATAGTGTTCCAACATTTTGCATTTGTTCAATCTCGTTCTCTTCAATAGTTTATCAGATAATTGAATATTTTGTGTTTTTTATAGATAAAAAAAAAGTCTGTCCATTAACAACACATACCTGTATTGCCTGCCGGCAAATTGTATGAATAATTCTAAGTTTGTAGCGGAGGATAAGGCTAACATGTTAATGTAAGACTTGATATGACGTATCGTTTATTGCACATTCTGTAAAGAGCTGTTCAGATCAAATATAGTTTCCTTATACTTTTTTTTTTAATTTTTTCCATTGTTCCAGGAACAACTTTCATCTTTTCAACTTACTAAAGCTCAGTTATTAGTGTTTGAGAATTAGATACATCAAAAGTCGTATGATCTAGAGACCTACCGATTGCAACTGCTTCCTTAATGTCAGACTTTGATTAAATAATCCCGCTGCATTTGTTTGCACCTGTCCTAAGTCAGGATACTGTTTCAGTGGTTGTCGTATGTTGATATGGTTCTTAAGTGTTTCTCGTTTCTCGTTTTTTATATAGATTAGACTGTTGGTTTTCCTGTTTGAATTGTTTTACACTTGTCATTTTGGGGCCCTTTATAGCTTGCTGTTCGGTGTGAGCCAAGGCTCCGTGTTGAAGGCCGTACTTTGACCTATAATTGTTTACTTTTTACAAATTGTGACTTGGATGGAGAGTTTCTCATTGGTATTCATACTACATCTTCTTATTTGTATATAGTATGGAACGCTTAGACCCTTGACATATTGTCCGTTTTGAATTCATCTGTGTTAATACTATTTTCTTATATTTCATAGACATTCGTGCAGAATTAACAAATTGGTTTGGATAGAAATAATCCTACTCACCATTGCAAGTCAGTATACACACAGCGGTTCAAATAGAATAACTGATTATATATCAAAACACATTATCTATGCTAAAAGAAACTAAGAAAACACTATAATTGAATAGCTTTTTTTGGGGGGTCTTTTGTTGAGTCTTTTATAGACCAAACGCGCGTCTGGAGTACACAAATAAAATCCTGGTATCTAAGATGAGTTTATTGATTGTCAACATGTTCTTTCATGAAACATTAAAACTGTATTAATCATAAGACTACTTTGCATGAATGATAATTTTTTTTTGAATTTGTTTATACAAAGAAATGTCACACAATAAACATAGTACTATTAATTAGTGTATTGTTAAGCATGCATAATTCGTATAATTGCAAAGCGATAGTATTAATGCAAAGGAATACAATACAACAATAACATGTGACCTTTTGTTTTTATTTTTGAACATTCAAATACGAAATTAATGAAGAATTTTGATCTGTTTTGTAGGGTCTTATAACAACTCAATTTTCAAATAGTTACAGACTTTGCAAGGAGATTTTTCAACCCGAAATAGGTTAACAGATGTATTGATATTCATTTGTATAAGGTTGATTTCTATCCGATGCAGCTCATGTTTTAGTAATGATAACGTATCACACTTAATTCAAGGAGTACATCAGCTGTTTTTATAATACGATTTATCCTGTACGACTGTCGTATTATAACATATTTATACACGGTATTAATTATTCTACTGAACATTTGCTCATGCGCAGACAGTGATAAATATTCGAGTGTTGCTCGTTAGATGCAGTACCTGTTTATAGAACATCACACTGGCTAAGTTCAAAATGTAGTATAAAAAACGAAGATTGTGTTACGTAATAACGTAACGCTTTTGATAGTGTAACATGCAATTTCTAGAGATACTGGTAACTAGCCCATTTTAATAAACAATTGTTACGAGTTTCAACAATTATCTTCATACCAAGATTCTTCATACAAGTTGTCAAAACATTGTTGTCAATATAACAAAATTCTATACGATTGTCATACAATTTAGAGGGTTAACTAGCTATACAACCAAGTTTAATCCACCATTTTCTGCATAAGGAAATGCCTGTATGAAACCAGGAATAAAACAATTGTTTTCTATTCGTTTGATGTGTTTAAGCTTTAGATTTCACAATTTGATAAGGGACTTTCCGTTTTGAATTTTCCCTGGAGTTCGGTATTTTTGTTATGTTACTTTGTTAGTATTTAGTAAAAAAAAAAATGCATGGATGAAAACAGCGATCAGTTAAGCTAGCAAGTACACATATTTACATAATTGAGAAAAAGTAAATAAAGAATGTGAAAACATAATTGTGTTAAATAATACATTTCCTGCCGAATATCAAACCAAATGAACATAAGCACTGCTAACTGTAAAATTAATGCTAAAACACATTGATGAATCATTACAATAAGAAATATAAAACGTAATCTACTTCAATGAGATACTCCATCGTCGTTTGTCTAAAATTAATTATATTACTATATGCAGTGAATTATCTTAATTCATTCAATTGTTAATCAATTTAAAATTAAGAAATATAAACCTGTTTTAAATTTCTATTTTTAACAAAATTTAGATTTATCACTTAAAAATACTTTTCATAAATCCTTTTTAAAAACAATTAGAATATCGAATATATTAAGTATACGTACGTATTTCATGGTTTTCATCATGAATAAATACACTATATATTATTCCTGTATTATTGTAAATGACATGCGCTGATACTCCTGGTGTCACATTAAGTAAAGAATTACCATTTGCACAGTACACGTTGCCTCGGTACACATGGATATCTTGGTTTTTATTGTTTGTATTTGTGTTTAAAACCGTTATGACACTACTTCCATTTAATGTTGATGATTTCAAGAATCCATTATTGAATTCCATCCAATAAAGGCGATCTTTATCATTATCTAATGAAGAAAAAAAAATTCGGCCGATTACATGAATGTGACAACGATTTGAAAACAATCTTATTGTACCAAACATAGTATACTTCGATTTATATGAATACATTCAAACAGACTGTGTTTCCAATTCCTTGTCCGGTTAATCCAAGGCACTGATATTCAATAAATATGTCTTCAGATGATCATATCAAAATAGGCGTTAGATACCAAAAGGGAAAATATTTTTTTAAGTCATAAAGAGTCAACAACACCATGGCAAAAAAACAAAAATAACACACATATCTGCAGGAACATTAATATACAAAACGATACCTGGAAAAGTAAAGACTGAAAACACGAATATAACAATCAACCATGGGTTTTCTTAGATGTTGCGGAAATGAAAGCAGTGGTTGTATTCAGATAACGACATTCTACAATCTATTTTTAAACTTAAAAGTGAATGGTGATAGAACATGTTTGAATGACACAAGTATTAAAAAAAAACCCATCAAAGATGACATGCTTAAAATTCTATTTGACAAACACGCATGCTTCTAAAAAAAATCCAGTCCAATGTTTTACCAGTCCAATTATCCGGTAATCAAATTAACTGCTTTTACATAATTTGATTGCATTTATTTGAAGTATCGAAATATATTTATCAATGTGTTTATTACAAAACAATGTGACAATCACCTTGGTTTTACAAGGGGTTGTTTATTTGTGTGTGTCTTTCACCTGCCAGGTACACATAATTCGTATAAATATTACAAAATAGTGGATTATCATAATCATAGTAAAGTATAAATAAACATATATTTTGTGTACATGGGCAGTTGGATGCGTGAAATATTAAAGTACAGTCAGTTCTATTTCTACAAAAACCGTAAAAACATTAGTTATCAAATTTCAAGGGATCATCCTTATTTTGTAATGTATGGTTAAAATGATTATGTGACAAATTATATCGCATTTCCGTTGTTAGTGTTATTATTTTAAGACAGCATACCAATGCTCATACCAGTAACTAGTTCTGATTGAATATTTATGATTGTTTGATTTTCAGAATCGTTAAGTTTCAATCGCCTAATTGATTTGTTTGTACCATCCGTACTGTAATACAGCCATCTGAAATTTAAATAAATAAAACGATGATGGCCTGAAGTAAAACAGTAAATATATGTGTAGCATTCTGACATAGGGAAGAACGACTGAAATCGATACCTCAAAGGTTTTACCGTCACCAACACCAATTCGTTGAGTAAAACAATATGTCGTGACTCTAGGTTTTACAGTCTTAGATCCTAAAATACAATTATAATCGTCTCACTGATTCCTGATTAAATATGTTGACTGAGTGTGGATTCGAATGGCAGGCTAAACATGCCTAGCAAGAGACGTATTTCCTGTCGATACACAAAGTCTCGGTCTTTTTGGAATTCATGAGATTCCCTCAGTTTTTGTAGGCTACCTTGATTTGTTTTGTTAAAGGATTGATTTGATTTGAAACTACCGTTATCTTAAGCAATACACTGCCTTCATTAGACATGTCAGGTAATTTCTTCAATTATAGGGTTTCGTTCAATATTATCAGATATGACAAAGAACATTATGAATAGATAGTAGCTATACAAATACAGGGAAATAGTACGATAGGGACATTATATGTCGCGAAAAAGGCGGTTCGAACAATGCTTGTTAATATCGAAGGGGATATTGCGACTCAACATATCTTTCTGTCTGCAATTGGAAAATGATAAAAGAGTAACACAACGGATAATTTTGCAATGATACAAAAAAATGCTCTTTTGTAACACTATTATTGTAAATAGAAATAAGAAGATTTGGTATGAGTGACAATGAGACAACTCTCCATCCAAGTCACGATGTGTAAAAAGTAAACAATTATAGGTCAAAGTACGGCCTTCAACACGGAGCCTTAGCTTACACCGATCAGCAAGCTATAAAAAGCCCAAAATGACTAGTGTAAAACAATTCATATAGGAAAACCAACGGTCTAATCTATATAAAAAACTACGTTGATATGTTATTTGATAGCTATTTTCAGTTTAACGTGTTTTTGTAATTTTCTAATACAAACCTGTTCCGATAATCAAATGTGAGAGCAAAGAGTGGATCGTCCTTCAATATAACTAATTTTAGTGATCCATCTAAATTACATCTACAAAGTTTCCCGGTGGATCGTTCTGTCCAATACACATGGTTATATAAAGGGTCAATCACCAATCCTACTGGCCTGCTTGCAAAAGTAACAGGTACTAAATCCGTCGTTTGTCCTGGTGGATATCGAAATCTTAAAGAACCAAAAATTATAAACAAATGTGTAAACTATAACGATATATAATTGCATTCTTGAATAAGCGTTGAAACAAAAATTTAACTTCGTCAGCTATGCAAATATTTAAAAAGAAATGGTTATGCTTCAATTCTAGAATTCAAGTGTTTATGCCGTCTTACCATCAAAGCAATAATAGTACTTACCTTAAACATGTAATATGATATTCCGTAATGTTACATTATGCAATTAATTAGTGATACTAGTCTAAATATGGTAGGTAATGAATATCTCCACTTTTGAAAACCGTTTAACACTTGCATTTTTCCAACTTAATTTGTTTAAGCCACATTTTGAGCATGTACGGTACTATAGAATATGCAAACCTTCCACATAGTACTGTGTTGTTAAAGCTAGTATGGTTAAAATTAGTCTCAATGGTATTCAAAATATTGTCTGCTTATAGTTAAAGTAACTAAAAAATGGTCATCAACCTCTTCATACCTTTGTATATCATTTTTTGTATATCTCGAAAAATATATATATCCATTTCTATAATCATAGTCTACAGAATAGATAAAGCTCTGAAGGTCAGTCTGAAGTTCCAATTCTTCTCCATTTTGCAAGTTAAGTTCTTTGATAGTACCATAAGTCGAAATGATAAGCTTATTTTGAAAACCTGAAATTGAAATTCAACAAATATCCACTGTTAATTTTACAACTTGTCAATAGTTTGTTGCAACATGAAGTCAAAAATATTCATTCACAACTGCTATCTATGCATTAGTTATCATTTAAATCAAAAGCATTTGGCCCATACTCTTATATTATTACATAATAAAATAGTGATCAGAATTACAAGAGAAAACAAGAAAAACGAATGAAATCGTTATAAATGTAACAACGTATTGCGTATCTCTTTTTACACTAGACGCAGACTAATTTATCATCTCACAGAATCTTTGAGGATTGCTGATAGTAATTTGTCCTTGATCAAGATTTATATATACATATCAATATCAACAGATAGACGTGGATTTAAGCAAGAGTTTCTTATATAAAGATGCTTCTAATATATTTATAACGAAGGACTATTTTTTTATATTGTATGTGTATCAGAAATTTTTATATATGATACACTGATTTGAAAAATTATTGAGAAGTTTTGAATTTATTAATTTGCGTAATGCTTAATAGCACATTCACAAAAATTACACATTGAATAGGACAAACAGAAACAGAGAGAGAGAGAGA